ACAGGATTAATGAACTTCAAGAAGTTCAAAAGGTTCTCCACTGCACCTTGGGAGAACAACCCCAGGCACCAATATGTGCTGGAGGACACCCAGACCCAGCAAGAAAGAAGTTTTGTAGACAGAGACCTGAGGGTCCTGGTGGACACCAAGTTAAACACGAGCCAGCGAGGGCCCCTTGCCACAAAGAAGGTGATCAGCATCCCAGGTGCATTGGGAAGAGCATGGCCAGCAGGCTGAGGGAGATGATCCTTCTGCTCTACTCAGCACTGTGTCCAGTGTTGAAGTGCTGTGGCCAGTGCTTGGCTCATCAGAAAAAAGAGAGACATGGCCATTCTGGTTTGGCCTGGGAAAGAGAAGGCTCAGAGGGATCTTAATAAGGATTAGAAATTCCTGAAGGGAGGGTGCATAGAGGACAGAGCCAGGCTCTTCTCAGTGCTGCCCAGCAACAGGATCAGATGCAATGGGCACAGAACGGCGCATGAGATGTTGCATCTTAACATCAGGAAACATCTTTTTTCCCAGTGAGGATTAGCAAGCAGTGGCACAGGTTACCCCTAGAGTCTATGGAGACCTGTAGCTTGGAGATACTGAAGAGCTGCCCGGACATGATCCTGGACACTCAGCTCTAGGGGACACTGCTTTAGCAGGGGGCTGGACCAGATGACCTCTGGAGCAAACTTCCAACCTCACCTATTATGTGAAGCTGTCATATGGAACCTAGGACTAAGGGCACACAGCTGCAATATGAGATAGATTCCAGCTTTATCAGAGGAAGACAATGTTCCATACTAACTGCAATGGATTACGACATTAGCTTGAAATACTGGATTAATGTGTTTGCTAGAGGGGTGGGAAAATACAACCTCTGAAACTAAGTTTCATGTAATTTCATTCCTGTCAAGAACACGGATACATACTAGCAGGAGAAAACAATGATATTTCTTCATGAATAGAATAGCTGACACTAATATATTGCAGGGAGAAGATCAATGCCTACTTCTTTCTCATTCTCAGCACTCCTTTAATGTGCACAATGTCTCCATAACCCTACCCCAGGATGAAAAGGATGTGAAGAAGGCTTTCTGATAAGTACTTTGTAATATATTGCCACTGTCCTAAGTGGGGTGAGGGGTTGGGGTGGTGGCAGGAAATCAGTCTGTAACAGTTCTGCCCTTTGAAAAAAGCATGATACTTATCCACCCCCCCCCACCCTGAAAAATAGCAGTAACAGACTGTAATGCCTTAAGGCAGACTCCCCAGAGAAACTAGCCCCCTACTCTGGCTAATATTTGAAGATGTCACAATCTTGACATTTTGAGTACAATGAAGTCCTGACTAAACAACCACTTTAATAGAAACTACACAAAGTTAATGTCAGTCCCTTCTGGTAGAACATTGTCTCCCACATTTAATGAAAGATGTGTGTTAATGTTGTTCTTGCCAATGGAAAATCTAAAAAAGTTTTGAGAAACTACATTTTTTAATGCAGAATGCCAAAACAAAAATGCTTCTAGTCTGGATCTCAATTGTCCATTTCTGCCTTGCCTATTATACCAGTGTGCAAAAAAAGATCAAAGCTGAAGTTAGTGAAAAAATCCTCAAATACCACTAGTGTTTAGAACGCCACAGATCCAATACTTAAATTAATTTTGGACACACCTGGCAGCCAGTGCAGATTATATTATATACCTTGAGTTATCTGGAATCCATTGTTTGTTTGCTAGCCAGTGCAATGTCCTAGGAGTTATGGAGAAAGGGGTCAAAACCCATGATATAGTGCAATTATCACAATCAGATGATAATAACCAATAATATTTCAAAATGAGTACTGGCTACTGAAAAAAAAAGCCACTCCTCCAATAAGTGTGTAATGCATCTTCAAAAACCTTTGTCTACATACCAGTCTATACCCACAAAGCAGTAATCATTCCAGACACCAAAACACAGATTCAATTCCCAAGTTTTGAATTTGGTCCTACCTCACACATGAACTCTACTTTCACAAATTTAGTACAACCAACTATAACTGAAGAAAACCTAACCCCAAACTTGCACTGATTCCAGGAAAACTTTCTCTTTGGGCTTATTTAAGAACAGCAATTAGCCAAAACCTCAGTCATCTGAAACTGATGTTCTCTAACCAAAACCTCAGTTCCTGGAATTATTACTGATAGATGATCTTGCTTTTCAGTGGCAAGAGCAAGCTTATGGACTGACTCTTTTCTGAACATCTACCTTCAAATTTAATGCTACTCACTGGAAAATAAAAGGTGTAACACTAGGCAAGATTAGAGGACAATGAGGAAAAGGGAAGAAATGAAAAGATTTGAAACTTCCCCAAAAAAATAAAAATACTCCATGAACAGAACAGGAAATGCTGCAATCTCTACTAGATCTCTAAAATTTAAATGTGGCATATGAGTGTGGGTAGAAAAGTATTTGGAAGTGTTTACAAAGTAGATGTTTCCTGGCTGAAGATTCTTGGTTGATTTCAGACACTCAAATGGTAGCAGTCATTAGCAACTTCATTGTTTCCAGATGACAAAAAAAAAAGCATCTGTTAGCTAGCAAATGATTACCCAATCTCAGTTACTGACAGCTTCATCACGTTAGTGGAACTGCAGGAATATATTTCCCAGGCATAGTATTTTGGCATTCAAATTCATACCAATCTAAAAACATGGTAGCTCGACCTCCTGGCAGCAATGGCGACTGTGATTGTGACAGCAATCCAAACTTCTCTTCCCTCAGTCCTTTGAATGAAAATTCTCATGCTGTTAAAGGGTCTCAAGTTGTATCTTCAAAACACACTCTGACCTGGGCCAAATTTTCTAAACGACCACATAAAATTTCAGGATTAAGACTTCTCTCAATACACTCCTTTAGCATTTTAAATTGCCCAGTAACAAAGACAGAACTTGCCTGTGTAGGATGCAGAGCCTTTTTGAGGGCTGATCCAAGACTGTAAAATTAATTTCTCCTGAAGCTAAAGGGAAAACTTAAAGTACCCCATCTTCTATCCCAGGTGTATGATGCTTCTTTGATCCCTTTTTTTCAAACATGAAACCAAGTGTATTTGTTAATGCAGACTAAAGCCTTCCAACAAAACCCTACCAAAACCAAGGCATTCATGTCTTGGCAGGGGGTTGGGCTAGATTATCTCCAGAGGTCTCTTTCAACCCTAACTATTTTGTGATTCCGGGATTCCACTGCACATTACTTTTCAATCAACATAATGAAAGGACAACAACTTCAGTTAATGAATTAGCTGATACTGCCCAAGTCTACATAAAAAGGAGTAGTCTTTCCAAAGTGCTATAGTTTAGCCTTCCCCTGAAATGCTCACTAGTCAGCGATCTTCATAATCTATAGGTTAATAAACGTTGGTGACCATACTGTGCATATAATTATTTTTATTATACATGTTAAAGTGGCAACCATTCTAAGAATCACTTTATACACAATTTTCAAGCTGCTATTAATTGTGAGCTTGAATAGTTGTACAGCTTTGTGCCTTCTATTTAAAACAAACAGTAAAAAATTGAAATAAAACTGCAAGAAGCAGCTGCTTTATTATGAGCACACTCTTTGGCAAGCTGCCTCCACATTTATTCAGACAAGTTATGATTTTATCTCCTACAGGAAGTGCACTCAAGTATTTTTGGGAAAAGGAATCAGAAAGGAAATTATCATGACCCACGCTGAACTACAGTAACAGACGCTCTGCTACCAGTAAAATTTCTGCTAAGGGTTACTGCTGCTAGGAAGAAAGGTTAATGTTCTGGAGACAGACAGCATCTAGTGACAGTAACTACTGCAAAGAAGAGCTAGAAAACAGGTATTCTTGTGTGTCATAATTTGCAGCCCCAGAAAAGCTGACAGACTCTGCAGCAGGGAGAATGATGCACATAGCAGAGTAACATCACCAGCAAAACGTTGTACTGCTGTCTCCAAAGCCAGCAAACACGTGGAAATGTGGTTACAGCGCTTCATAAGGAGCAAAAATAATTCAGGGCAGCTAAGCAAGCCAGGGCAAGAATCAAACATGCTGTCTGGATACACTTTTGCTTAAAATCTGAGTTCTGGGCCTTTGGATGCCTATGTCACAAGAGAAGGGCAAACACAAATATTATAACACTTTCAAGCTTGATAAGGTATCAATCAGAGGTAACTAGCACAAGTCTAGAGCTCAGCTATGACCTTTTGCTTCTTTCTGGAACTTGGACTTTCCTGACTGCATGTTGTATACCAAAAAGATGAGGAGCACTGCATTTTCTATGGGAATATGCCTTCAAAAATGCAGGCAAAAGAGATGGATCTCAGATGATGTTAACTTTGCAGAGAACTACATACTCCAGTCAAAAAGATTTCTTACCATGTAACATTTCTTTTACTGTATCTCAGGTAAAAAAAACACAGGTTTTTGATATTTGCAATTTGCACGGCTACAATAAGATTTTCCCAACTAACCTTGAACTTGACCACATAAATTTTCTTAAGCCATTATATGAAACTTAAAGGATCTGAATCTAATTCTGGAAGATCAGGAAAAGGAAATATCAAAATTTCTATCTGTTACAGATATACACACACCCATCAGAAAACACAATGATTAATCTGAAAAAGACTTCCTGAAATCAAGGATTTTGTACATGCCTAGATATGAATATTTTTTTTAAAAAAGATTGCTTTTAGTTTTGATGTAGGAAATGTAACATTTATGTAAAAAAAAGTGGACACCAACACACACTCACCCTTGCATAAATCAGTAACAGCATCAACAAATATATACATGAACTCCTCTACAGTGGAGAAGAATATTTTTCTCTCTGCCAGACTTTCAGTTAAGCTGCTTTGACTTAAGACAGATAATAATCAAGACTCGAAGAGGTCCCTTTTATTGTAATAATGAACCTTAAATTATCTCTTTCTCCTGCAGAACTGCATAACTCTCATGCTTACATGTCAAAAAATGTAAAAGACTGAGACAAACTTGAACATAATAGGATTGCTCTGTATTCATTGTGCATATTCCAGTAACATAATTCACTATGAACATCTGATTTCAAATGCCAAAGACTTTGTATTTATAACAGAGCCCAAGAAAGAATGAAAATTTTCTTATATACTCTATGTCCAAATGTGAGCCCAGTAACTTTATGGAGAGAAATCTCGGTACCCTCCTAACAAAGGTAGAAATATCAAATAAAGCTGTAGTTTCTTTAATGTAAATTCCTGCTTTTTATTAAAGGATAAACTACATTTAAGAAATCCAGACATTTTACTTTCAGAGTTTACAGCCCAGCAGTATTTTTAAGAGAAGCAAAATAGCTAAACCAATTAAAAAAAAAAAAAAAGATTATAAAAAGAAGTTAACTGACACAATGAGGTTTGGTTATTCTTCAAGAACAGTAGGCTTCAAACGAAAAGGCTGTGCCCCTGTGAGAAACAAAGATGTAGTATGTGATTATAAATAATTATTTCTAAGCTTGCATGACTTCACTGAGTCTAACTAAAATGCAGACTCCTAAAATCACTTTCATTTAAGCTGTATCTATGGAACAAGGCTAAGACTGTTTTGTGCAACATGACTTTCATCTATTCTATTAAGAATGCTTTTTATAAAATTGAACATTAGGGATATTTGAATCTGGATCCCTGCTCTTCAGAACACAAGCATTCAGACTCTTAACCATTGCAAATTAGCTGCCAGGCAAAAATTGTTATAAGTGGCTATTAAATGTAGTCCCTGATATATCCTGACTTCTTTGGGGGTTTTTTGTGAGAAAAAATATTATCCTGTTGACATCCACAAAAATATAGAATACAAAGTTAACTATCTCTAATAAAACAGATCCTGTCAAAACTTTCAAAGAAACTTGAAAAGATCTTGCTAGTGAAGATAAAAAGTGAGATGAACCCCTCAGGTTAACTTGAAGAGATCAAGACAAGGAAAACCCCTTCCAATTTTCATTACATGCCAGACTATGAAATTTAATTATTTACCTAAAGGGAGACAACCATGATTTATAGAAGACTCTGGATTTCTTAAAAATAATAACAATAATAGTAATAATAGAAAGCCTTTGTACTCTCATCAACCTTAAAGTAGCACCTGTTTTTCACATTCCTTTTTACTTTCTGTTAATTGTATTTCCTAGAATATTTTGGAGAAGGTCAAGGGGTAATTTGGAATATTTTTATCAACACTGCACGCAACTTTTATATTTGACTTAGTTTTCAAATCAACAATTTATTTGTTCTTCCACAGTATTTTGAATAAAGAAGTAATTCTTGAAAGCTGAATTCTGCCTCACAGCAATGCTTTTCAATAACTTTCAGGTTTCACTCCAAAAAGCTTAATTCACCAGCTTTAGTGGCTGGTGAGTTTAAAGTGACTTAAACCTACATTAGCCGATTTAACAGAAGGCTACCTTCCCTTTCTTATAAATTATTCGTTACAGAAAGTTCTCCTTCTCTCTGAGCACTTTGGCTAAAAGACTTCCTGGTTATATTTCGCATTACTTTTCCACTTCAGCTTTCAAATTGAACAGAGTGACAGTTTTCTCACATGTTCTGCAAAGGGTCTGGGCTGTACTTCCACATGGCATTCCTGAGACAGAACAGTCTTTCATGAAACTAAAAAATAAATTTACAAAAAGCAGCCATGAACAAGTTTCTTTACTAGTAACTTGCAAACATCAATATTAGTTGCAGCTTTTAGGAACTTGTGAAACAACCAGTCCCATTTTCATACCTTGGTACTGAACCTGCTCCTCAGAAAAACCCAGAAGTGGTGCCCACCCTCCCCAGAAGCCAGTAACCTACATACAGTCCTAACAAGAAAGGAGGTGATTTAATCCTAATTTCTGCTAAAATGGCACCCCAAGATCCAAAATGCCTGCAGCTGTCATGGTGGCTTCTCTTTCCTAACATCAGGAAACTAACTTATTTTTGTACTGATCTGTCATCCTCAAGGCTGGTCTTACTTCCTTTCTTTGCAGTCCCAAAGAAAGGGACCAGCACAGAGTCACTAATCTGCAAGCACATCCCAGCTTCAAGGTGAATAAAATCTGGGACATTTTGGCTAAATTCCACAGCAAATTATAGCCAGTGAAGTCAACCCAGCCTGGCAAGAACCACAGGTTAAGGAAACAGGAGTCAATATCAAATACACAAAGCTCACTGCTGATAGTTCCGAACATTTTTTGTGCAGAACAGTTCTGCACCTCTGTCAGATGTGACTAAGCACAGCCAATCCTACCTTCAAGGCTGACTTCAAAAAGTCTCTCACAGCATTTTGGGGCGATTTTCTGTTGTGTTTTTTCCTCTGACCCAGAAGAAGTCAGCAGGACTACCACATCTTTGCAAGATCAGGGACTTGCGAATTAAAGCTGCACTTACTGAGAAGTAGTGCAATTTAATTAATACTTGGGTACTTGTCTGCACTAAAATACAACGCTATTATTTTTATAATATACATATTAGACATTTTCTTGTTAGATGCTGAAGCATGTTCTAGCACTCACTGGTTTATTACCCTTAGCCTGCCAAAATTCTTGAGGTTCTCCTAATTGCGCTATCTTCTTTTAAGATACTAGTACCATGATTTTCAGACTTTTGTCTCCTGTTTCTCTTAAAAGTACATTTATACCAGTATGTATTTTCCCTGCCTCTTAAACTATAGCTACAAAAACATTACACTGTCTTAACTGTAGGTTTAAAGCCAGAGAGGCTACTTAACATAGTCTGGGGGAAAAAAAAAAAAGTAAAATATCCTGTTCCCATCAATGGGAGGCTTACACTTTTGAAGTAGGATCAAGTTTCCAGGGAAAAGACTTGGTGAAAGCTGACTGAAACAAAATTGTTGCGGCCGGGTTTAGACAGAAAAACCGCAACTGTGTGGCTTGAGTCTGCAGCGTCCCCTGCTGTTCAAGTGGCAGAACAGCAGCGACGGTCGGTAATGCCGTGGAAAGCAGCGACAAAAAAACAACCCAGTGCGACAGCAAATAACATCAAAACTCTACAGCCCAAACGCGTGAGGGCATCCTGCATCCTTCAGAAGTAAATATCTACCTCTCAAAACTAGTGAAGGATTTGTTTCCTTAATCCTGTTACAGTAAAGACTAAATGTATATTTAGAAGATAAAATATATAAATACAGTTAAAATACACAATATGCTGCAAATATAAAACAGACACATTGAAAATATGTCATGAGTTTCAGTGTTATTTGAGATGCAGCTGGTCAAAATCTGGAGGACTAAAGAGGAATGGATGAATAGGTCAAACTAAGACACAGTAACATTTTCCAGCAGACACACTGTCCCATGTAGTATTTCTTGCACCACCTAGTGCTGAGTTACTTAATCAAGAACTAAATCCCCGTATTCTCTTCCTTTATACCTACATTTGTAATCTGCTTCTTATGTACCTGATAACACCTAGGAAACTGTGGGTCTGTACTTCAGCTGGAGCCACGGAGACAAACGTAGTCCAAAAGGAATACCCAAAAGCATACATTTGCTTCCATTTCAATAAAAATGTTTTACTAAGCAGAAGAAAAGAGAAATTCCTAATAGAAAAATCCACCACACAAACTACCACAAAGCCCCAAAACATGAGAGACAAATACTTAAGCCATGCTCTGTGCAGCACTACTACAAATACAACCATGGCATTTCTGTTAAAGACCTAAATCTAAAAGTAAATTTCTTCCTAAAGAAAGAAATCCTCAAAGAACAAAAATAAAAACCATAATAGACTAAACAAAGAACAAGAGAAATGCATGACAGTTAAGTGCATCTTGTTTGAAAACATATTTTGTGATTCCAAGTTGAAAAAATGCAAAATAAAATAGAACTAAAGTTATTTATTGAGCTTATAAATTAAAAAAAAAAAATAAAACCAATATTTTTTTAAAAAAAGTATTCAATCACTTTCTCATGGGAAAAAACCTACCAACCAACCAAGGAAAACAACATCACTTTTCCTTAGATGAATAAGTTAATACTACAAGATAATTGGCTCAGTTAGGACGAGAGTGACAACAAATAGCCAAAAGTCAAACTCCAGCCAAGCACGAAGGTTTGTGTGACAGATACAGCTCTCATCTTCCAGTTACAAAAGGGCTGAACTGAACATACCACAGCATCCACAGGGTATTCAAGAAGGGATGTGGCCAAACAAGGTAAGAACAAATACAAGATAAAGGATAGGAGATTCCATTTGGGTAACAGGGCATTTAGGGCACAGACATGACAAGTAAACAGTCATCCTCAGGTTGCTGTATGAATACTCTGACTCCTGTCTAGTTTCATAAAGCAGAGTCCTTGATGCTATGTAGGGGAAAAGTGAGTTTTACTTTACAGAGCTGACTATCCACTACCCTGTTAAACACCCACAGGATGAGCAGAATAGATGTAAAGCCTTGTTCAGTCAGTTAGATCAAACACTTTTTCCAGAGACATACAACCATCCAGACAACAGGACTGTGAAAAATCTACACTACTGTGTTAAAGCAAAGCAGCTCTGCACACAATAGAAAGGAAACTACTATTTTTTTCCTGGTCTTGTAGGTTCTTGTATACCTGCCAGAAACAAATAGTCCTGCCCAAGCTGGAGGGAGAAAAACATTGGGCCCCAACCCTGCACTGTAATCAAGGAGGCCCTACATAGATTCAGGAGACTCTTCACACTGATCCAACTTCCAGACTTGGTGCCTGGATACAAAAAAAATAGCAAAGATACACTTCCAATGCCTATGTCTCTTTTATCTGCAGCTCTCCCTTCACAAATCCACCATGCAATTCTTAAAGTAATTGGGTCTCTTACAAAGGCCTCCAAGGAAAGGAAACATTTTTCTTTCTAATGCCAAAAAGAGCAGAATAATCTACTTGTGATCATCAGCAACTCAATTATGAGATGGTTAGCTTCAAGAGGAGATCTAAGAAGGACAGTAAGACTAAGGACAATCAGCATCAGAAGACACTCCTCCAGGAGAAGTAACAAACACAGTGCCTACCTAATGCTCTAACTCTTATGGCACACACCAGTTCTGAAAACAACCCGGCCAGCTGCTGACAATCCTTCCATACCATGTCTATATTGTCACAGCTTTCTGATCCAGAGAAAACTACTATTATAATCAGATACATCCAGTCTCTTTGTTTAAAAACCAAAAAACTGAAGATCTGCAGTGAAGGAAGATTTATTTTTTAACCCCCTTGTGAGAGCAGAATAATTTTCAATTATCTTTTCTAACAGAAACTTAAAAGGTCACTGCTGCTGATCTAATAAAGGCAACATGCAGGGCTTACATCTTTCAGAGCTGACATCTCATTATGTGCAAAGGCCCTGTGCACTATTTAAATCTGTGTTAAGGATTTATTTCCCAGTCTTTGCAAGAGAGATAAGAACGATTCTATTCATAAGCAGCAAAGATTTACTGAACAAGTTGCTATTTCAAGTATGCAGAAGAGGATAAAGTTGTACATTCGGTAAGAAGCACAATGAAGTTAAAATTTTAAGAGGAGTTGAATTGTAATCAGTGTTCAAAATTTATTTTTAAACAATACTACCGCCCAGCTAAGAACTAAAAGCAAAACAATAAAGATCTTCTATCTGTTCTGAAACTGCTTCATCCTCTTTATCTTCAAAGAGGGCCAATACTTCCCTGCACAACAACACAAGGGCCATGGAATACCATACAGGCATTCCAGCAGTAACTAAAAAATGTAACAAAATGTTACTCTCCCACTAGATAATATTTATTTTTTCATATTGAGGTACATCTTCAAAGAAAGAAATCCTGTTTATATTGAGTACTTTCTTTGTCTTTATTGCAAGGACACTCATTTACATTACAATCAGGAACATAAGGAGCTTACCTCTCAGCACGAAGGACTCCACTGTAGTAGGGGTGATCCCATGGCATCAGCATCTGAAAGAGAATTCCAGCTTATAATTACAATAATGGACAACAAGTGAACTCAAAGTAAAAGTTTTGCTTCACTTGAGTATTTTTGCAGTTTCAGCAAGTCACAGAATTTTAAAACATAATGGGAAACAGGGCTCAAACCAAAAATAGCATCATATATCATAACCTGAAAACTTTTTTAACACTTCTTGAAGTGTCTTCTCATTCAACTATATGATAGGACTTCATATCAGATTTCAAGAAATACACTCAGTTCAAATAAAAAGATAAACCTAGATATGTACAGCATTAAGATACATTCAGTGTAGTATATAAACTGGACTTGAATCTAACCTAAAGTACAGCCTTTATTTCTCAAATGAGTCAATTAATTCAAAGCAAAGTGATACCCCCTTTCACTGCTTTATGTTCTGGTTATCTCAGTATCACTTTGTATAAACCAACAGCTCTCTCACTACTTGATTTTAATACAGCAACTAAGTAGTCAGAAAGCATTTGAAGCCAGAAGAGAGAATGTTTTGAATTCTACTACATCTTGTACAGTAAAGTAGAAGTAATTGTAGAACATGATTACCTTATACGATATTTTTTTTAAAGAAACAAAACAATCACATATAGAAATGTAGCTTACTGAATTGTGGGGATTGAGCTTCATTTTCATCTTTGTCATCATTTCAAAGTCTTTTTGAGTTCTGAAAAATA